TGGGTGAGGACAGAGTTGGTGCACGTGGGGACGGGTGAGGACAGAGTTGGTGCACGTGGGGACGGGTGAGGACGGAGTTGGTGCACGTGGGGACGGGTGAGGACAGAGTTGGTGCACGTGGGGACGGGTGAGGACGGATGGAGATAGACATCATCCCCGTACAGCTCTCTAAAACAGAAGTGGCAGTGAACATGAGATATGTGTGACAGTGCTGTGGTCACCATAACGATTAACAGACGACAGACAAGTGCATGGAAGTGTGATCTGGCACCATTACTGTGTGCCTGCGGTCTGTGTTTGTGTGTGCTCATGTCTGTGAGCTAACTCTGGCAGGTAACCTTAGCTAGAGGAACATTATGAAGTACTCATTTTTAATTTTAAGTGTACGCATCATTCACAGAGGTACGTATTGCAAACAAAATCCTCAGTAAAAGAATTTTCATCAAAAAACATTTAAAGCTCAGCTCTGCTATTGAAGTGCCAGTTGTCAATTTATGCTGATGTGAGCCCCAAAGGTTTAACAGGTTTCGCACTGTCTATGGATTCTGCACCTGCTTATAGGGGGCCAGGTGTCAGTCACCTGCTCATAGGGGGCCAGGTGTCAGTCACCTGCTGCTGGGCTGACAGGGATGGGTGTCACCTGCATGTGGGTGTATGAAGCCGGGAGCAGGCGGGGTCCAGGGGGCAAGCTGCCGTTTACCTGGACCAGCGGAGAGAGAACCTTCTGTCTTTGGGAAAAGGCGGCCTAAACAGAGATCACGGGCCAATGGGACGAAAGGACGCAGCACAGCCAGTGCACAGCCACACCAGAACAAGCACGGTCAGGTGATACACGAGATGGGGAGTGGAAACGGAGAAAGAGGCAGGGAGGAAACAGAGAGAGACAAAGACAGGAAGTGACAGCGACATCAGCAGGTTACTAATTCTTTCACTGAGTCGTCAATCAGGCACAGAACTGCCTGATGTACAAAAGCTTTGAAATATGTTCCAGTAACTGGGGGCTGGGGGTGTAAAAATATAATTACATTAAAACATACAAAACTGACTTGGCATCTTAAGTCTTATTGATGTATTTTGTATAAGTGCCAAACAGCTGGCATTGGTTAATCAGTCGCATTAGTTGCCTGGAGAAAGTTTGCTGCATTCTTACATTACCTACATAAGAGGAACCTTAGCTGCAGGAAGTGCAGTTATTCCTGTGTCTGAGAGTGAACAAGGGCCACTTGGACCTGGATTAAAGGAAGTTACTCTCATGATAACAAAAGCACAGTTACTGAGCAGCCAACACCAGCATGGTGTGGATACTGACAGCATCCACCAAAATTCATGCCAAGTGATGCATATTCCTGGGTGAATATGGGCCGTTTTCCCATGTGAACCACATTGGGGGCTCACACTATAAGCTGGAAAGGCCTCGGTAAATAATGACTAGATGTAAATTTCCAAACATTTAGCAAATAGCCAAAAGCTAAAAAAAACTCTGGAGGACAAAGTAGCAGATGCTAACAGCAAAGCTATCAGCAAAGGGCAGAAGTAAAGAGAAAGAGGAATCAGAAGGTGACAGGCCTTCAGGGCAGCGATTTTATCCGGCGATACTCACGGCGTCGGCCTCCGCCTTCTCCCGAAAGCCACGTCCGCCGGCAGCCACCGACTCCAGAACCGCCACCCAGCGCTGCTTGTCAGGGAAGCTGGGTGCCATGAAGTACAGCACCTGGCCTGACCAGCATGGGGCGTGGGGACGGGACTCCAGCTTCAGCACGTAGGGGACATCTGTGGCCACCAAGCAGGAGGGGAAGGAGCACACGCCGCCCAACATGGGGCACATGACCTTCATGCAGGTATGTAGCTATTGGTAGACCTGGGGAGGCCTAGGCCTGCCTAATCACATAGCTGCTGTTTTTGTAACAGATCTGCTATCATTAGGCGCTGTCATTACAGGATCTGACTCAACCGCGGATGTGAGTCGCACATGTGCCAGCATTGAAAGCCAAATGCAAAGAACCATATATGTCCGATTGCTGTGAGGGGCTTTACCATTGTGACTACAGACAATTATAGGTAATCAGCCATTTTATAGAAATGTACGCTAATACATGAGACGGGCCTTAACTTTCTATGAGTGATAATGGTGTAGGTTTGGCAGAGGGTTTTAAGTCCTTTATTACTTTATTACTTTAATAGCTTAATATGGTTCACTGAAACTGGCAGCGCATGTGCGACTCACATCCATGGTAAACTCAGATCCTGTAGTGACACGTACATTCCCACCACAGGAACCATTTTCCGGAACCAGGAACTTTTGTTGTGTTTCCGCCGCAGGAACTCAGTCTGAGGATGCATCTCAATACATGGGCTGCATTCTTCGAAGGACACAGTCTATGAAGATGTAGCACTCATAGGCTGCATTCTTTGAAGGTCGAACAGAAAGCGTCAATTGGGCCTACAGATAATTTCCTATTTGTGTCACCGACTGTCCCTGCCCTTAACCCTTGAGTCACAAAGCACCATTCCTATCGCCTAGCCGGGACACACCCACTTCACCTCTGCACAATGAACCTTGGGATATGTTGGGCTGTATAGGATCCATCGCATGCATCCTTCACTGAGCAGGAAAAGAAGGATGCATTTCTAGAACGCGTTTGAAGAAGCCTTGGAAATGGGACAGGCTTGTTGCATCACTGGGATACACTCAGTCTTCAAATGCAGCCTTAGAAGGATGCAGCCCCTGAATTCGGACAAAGCCCAATTGTAGTTCCTCGGAGGCAGTTCAGGAACCCTACTTAGTCCCTGGGTGTTTCTCAATACCAAGAATGCAAAGATTGTGCTTGCAGTCTTGGCAAGACCAGTTCTTAGTATTGGAACAAGTCATTGGCAATGGAAGATGACATAAAATGGGTACATGAGAACAGTACGGTCAAGTACGCATGTTGAGAAACACTCCCTCCTTTTCATTCGAACATAAACTACTGGGGTGGGGCTTACAGCAACAACTTGCTGATTGGTTGACCACAAGAACCAGGCTAACTTGGACAGAATTTGCGCATCAGTTACATTTAATATATCAGTGCTAGTGGTGAAACTTGCCAGTGCAAATTGGAATAGCAGTACATCATTTTTTTTTATTCTGCGGAAAGATCGATCTGCTGGTCAGATTTAATAAGAATAAAGAACATGTTGCAGTTCATATGTGTAAAATATGAATAAAAGGCTATGTCCAGTTTTGATCGCGATCCATCCCCCCAATAAACATATGACTAACAAAACGACTTGTTCATCCCCTATTGTTTTGGGGTGGCGGGGCATGAAATTACATGTGAAGTTTAACCTACAAGCTTTTTGCATCTGGAATATCTAGCAGGGAGAAATTTCACAAACTAACACATTGAAAAGGTGGCATCCTATGACAGCACCACACTTGAATTCACTGAGCTCTTCAGAACAACCTGTTCTTTCACAAATGTTTGAAAACCTGCATGGTTACGTACTTGATTTTTTACACTTGTGGCAGTGGGTCTGAATGAAACACCTGACCCAAATTTTTTATCCATATAGTGTATATTTCATTGTGTGCTCCACCCACTTTTATTCTGGCCCCCGTGCAATTTCATTTTTGGCTACACCACTGCTTCCAAGTCATTGTGTTCACAGTGCAGAAAGCTTAACTATAGGCAGAGATACTTGATGAGAAGTGATTAATGGGGTGATTAAGGGCAGCTGTCAGTCTGTACCTGACTTGGCGGTGTGGATGAGCTCGGATGTGCCCACGGCTCCGTGCACGGTCAGCTCGCCATCTGACGGACACAGGTCAAGCTCCTCCTGCGGCTTCACTGAGTCTGAGGCACACAGAAGGGGTATGGTCACATGGGGATACGGTCACACCGGGGTACGGTCACATGGGGTAATGGTCACACCCGGATACGGTCACACACGGGGGAACGATCACACATGGAGGAATGGTTACACGGGGTACGGTCACACGAGGGGTACGGTCACACATGGGGGAACGGTCACACGTGGGTACGGTCACACGGATGGCATAGAGGACAGTCCAATTTACCCTTAAGTTACTTAACTGAAAAAAACATAAAAAAATTAAACAGATACAAGCATAGTCTTTCAAGATTATTCTGGACAAAAAATAAGGGAATGACTGTTTTAAGGATAAATGATTAGTTATGAAGGAGCACAGAAGCATCCCAGTGTGCCCAGCACGGGGTTCTGAACCTTCTCGGGGCTCGATCTCGTAGACAAGCACTTTGGTCCCATCCAGCACCACGTACTTCCTCTCCCAGACAGGACCCCTCTTCCCGTTCCTGTGCGACACACACACAGCTGCCATGAGAACAGCAAGGCCCCCTCCGCAGGAGGTGTCAAAAAGCGGCCAGGGTTCTAGAAACCAAGGGGAGGGAACTCCTGCTATGGCACCATGCTGTTGATGATGACGACTAAAAGTGGGTGAGCTTGTGGAGTGCAAGGCAGAGCTGTCGCAAAACAGACTATGGTAGCCGCCTAACACTGAAGCATTTAGCCAAATACCTGGGTGCTAATTAGTGCAATGATGACATTAAGCTACTGTTAAGATTAGGAGCCAAGTGCTAATGGCTGAAGGTCACAGCACCACCCCAACTCACCTGGGCTGCTTCATCCAGCCCTCCAAACGCACGTGGCCGCCAGCCTCCTTGGCCTGCTGACCGGGCGAGCCAGCCTTGTCGCGGCACAGGCCCTCGGAGAGGAGGTGCGCGGCGTGCTCGGCGGGCGGCCCGCACGTGGCTGGAAGGCAGGGGGAGCATTTTGGATGGCACAAAGCTCGACACTCTACAGCAGGAGAGAAAACACCATTAAACACAGAGGGAGGGGGGGTAGAGGGGTCAGTGGTCATGAGATGGTACGATCCAGGGGTGATGGACAGAGTGGAACTGTCCAGGAATCCAGAGAACATCCTTACAGTCTGACAGAGGACAACAACCACAATTCATGATTCCCAGTGATAGCCGATTATTCATATTATGTTAGTGTCTTACAGAAACATACAGAGAAATGGTGCACTTTTCAGCTGATAGGTGAGTCACTGCTCGGTGCTGGGATAGCTCCCCAGGGAGGGTGGGCAGCACAGCCGGCGTGGCAGTACGCACCGGTGCACGTGGTGGCCTGCCTGCCGAAGTGCACGGTGTCCAGGCACACAGAGCACTTGGTGGCCCTCATGTTGAGCCCGACGGTGAATCGGTGTGGGCCGCCATGGTGGATCCGCTCCTTCGCTCGCCGGCTGTACTCTGCAGGAGAAGGGCACCATCATCACTCCCAATCCTGCCCTGTGCTCCACACGACCCGGAAGCGACAGGTATCGTCTTAAAGAGGAGGGTGGAAGCTGACGCGCTAAAGTTATTGCTCTAGTTAAATTCTTATACCTCAAATAAAAACATATTCCTGATCCTCATACTACTTGCACACCTGTTGCTGGACCCTTCATGACCACAACAGACCTGATGATCAAAAGCCTGTAAGGTACAAGCTGAGATGTGCTGGCAAACACCCACTCCCAGATTGAGCGATTCTGATGCCTAAAAAGGTGCCTTATAGCGGGGATTTACCACACAGGCAAATGCACCTGACAATGTCTGGGATATGAGGCTGATTATGACCTTTGCGGGAAGTTCCGAAAACATCTAACGCAGGGAGAAGCGTAGCTGGTGTCATGATGCATGTGTGCAGACAGGCACAGTGAATCAAAGGCATCTCCCGCTGCAATCAGCCTGAGGCAGGAGCCATGGGGTGAGGGGGGGCATAGCATGCGCAGAGAACGTCAAGCAGGGATGTGTACGGGCCCCCAGAGAGGAATACAGAGAGGAAAGGTGTGCAGCTGTAGAGTGGCTGGCAGCGGGATGCAAGAGCGGGTGGCAGAGGTGCAAGTGAGGATGTGTGGATGGCAAGCAGGTAGCCGGGCAACCAGGTACATTTGTTCATTTACTTTATAGTAGATAAATCACCCTATAAATCATATAAATCATCACTCCCCTCAAATGCTTCATATACAATTCAGGCTCAAATATGTTACAATATATAGTAGTTTGTAAATGAGGGACAGTTGCACCAAACTCATTCACTGAAGATGATCATAGGTTCATATGATTGAGGTGATGTTTCTGGCCAGGTCTGGATGAATTAGATTAATGTAAGTGTAGGAGCGGCTTGACTAGACATGTGTGGACACATTTGTGTGCTTGTTCGTCTTATTAGCGCTGTGCAATGCAAACACAGTGTCTCATCATTAAGACTGAGGAGAGTGCAGCTGTATGTCAGCCAATTAGCATTTGCATTGATCTGTATGAGGCTAGAGAGCTTTTGGCCCCCCGGCACAGAAGCTACTTAAACCTGGGCCCGTTGACCCTTCTTTAGCATGGCTTAAGGACAGGAGAAGTGGGAAATGGAGGAGAAGAAATACATCTCGCTGCCAGGGGGAGGTGCACTTACTTTCAAAGGTGACCCTCCTCCTCTCTGCGGAGAGCGAGAGAGAAGACAAGAGTCCTGAGGCACAGGAACACGGATCAGATGGACGCAAGTCTGATTTTGCAAGGGGGCAGAGCACATGCTCATAGAGGCCTCACAGCGAAGACTCAGGAACACTGAGCCCACAATGGACCACTAATCTGCAGTGGTCGGCATCGGAATTGACTAGTGAACCTAGCTGATAGCTGTAACAGAACTACAGGTTATGGCCTAGAGCAGTGATTCTCAAACCAGTCCTCGGAGACCCCCAGACGGTCTACGTTTCTGCTCTCTCCCAATTCACTGACATCCCCGAGGACTGGTTTGAGAAACACTGACCTAAAGTTACCACATAAGTTTAGGTAGTGTGGGAATTTTAAGGACTACTAGTTCAGGGATATTAGCCTGAATCTGTAACAGGACTTTGATGACGGTCTACAGCACAGTGATGTTTCTGTTTGCCGACACCATGTTTTATGCATCATAAATGTCTCCATCTCACATGGATCGTGCCGCAGATGCAGTGGAGGCCCTCAGCACTGATGGTACCGCAGTGTACCTTCTGCAGCCACTGGCTTAAGGGAAGACCTACCTTCCGGCGTGGGAGCCTCCTTCCTTCGGCCAGAGTTGGAGGGAGCCAGGAGGCTGCTGGGCTTGGCCTGGTGCTCCGGGGACTTCACTGCGGCTGACAGGACAGTCTGCTGCCGCGTTAAGGCTGGGGTGGTGGGGGTCGGCCCGGGGGCGCTGTGTTCCAGGGCCTTGAAGTGGGCCGCTGACACAGGGACAGTGAGAGAGTGCACATCTCAGGCAATGTGTGATTTAAAACAACAGCTTCTCAACTGGTTGAGCCTCAAGACCCACATTTTTCCTGTATCGTTAAATCACGACCCAAATTTTTAAATTATTAACCAAATTTTCAAAAAATAGTTCCATAATGATAAATACACTGCCTGGCAAAAAAAAATAGTTGCCATTTGAATTTATATCACCAAATACTTAAGAGCCAATGACTGGATCATTATTACAGCTCAGCAACGTTATGCAGCAATAAAGTACCTGAATCTACTGAATGGCCAGGTTTCACCTCCATTCATCATCAATGGATTTTTTTCTTCCCTGTTGTCATGGGCATATTCCAGGACAAGAATGCCAAGATCCATTGGGTTCGAATTCTCTAAGTGTGGTTCAGGGAGCATGAGGAATCATTTTCACGCATGACTTGATCACCACAGAGTTGTGACCTTAACCTTATTGAAGGTCTTTGGGATGTGCTGAAGGAGGCTTTATGGAGTGGTTCAACTCACTTTTCAAAACAGAATCTCGGTGAGAACTGAATGCAAATGTGGATGAAAATAAAGGGTGAGATGTTGCATAAGCTTGCGGAAACAATGCCATGCCAAATGTGCACCATAATCAAAGCTAAAGGCGGTCCAACGAAAAATTCAAATGGAGACTGTTTTTTTTGGCTGGGCAGTGTATAAATTGTGCAGTAACAGTAGCACAATGTGTGCATGCACTGTTTAAAAAAAGAAACCACACACTGAACAACCCAATGAAAATGGTCCCCCAAACAACCAGTTGAGAAACAGTGATTTAAAAAGTGTGACTTAGTAAACTGATACCCTCCATGTCTGGAGGGTTGGATTCTGCCCCTGCTTGCATTGATTTCTTGCCACAGCCAAAGACATGAAGTTAGATAAACTGGTGTTTCTAAGTGACCCACACTGAAGCATGTCTATGCCCTGACTTGGACCTGGCCTGAGATGCCCACAAAGTGATTATGGAAAATGCATTGTTGTATATTTCACTTGTACTAAAAAAAGCAAAGCTTCACTGTCCAATGTTCAGTCCAAAGGTCGAAATTAAGCAGTGTTACACCATCAGCTGGTGTTAGTGTTTGTCACAAGATGTTGGATACTGTGCAAATCAGGCTAAAGCCCGTTTGTACAGCGGAGCATTGTGGGATATACTCCTGCAGCCGTCTGTACCTTCCTCCCGCAGGGAGCGCAACTCCAAGCGCATCTTTTGCAGAGCCTCCTCCAACTCGGAGCAGCGTGCTCGTTCCTTGTCCAGCGCCACTTTCATGTCGTTGTACTGCACGGATGCTGGAGCTTGAGCTGGGATCTGGGCCTGAATATGGGTCTGGACCTGAGCCTGGGACTGGGCCACACCAGAACCCATAAGATCCTCACGGCGGCGGCCAAAAATACTCTGCAACACAGATGGGCAAAAAGGTAATATCACCAAGAGGGGCAGCTCACAGAGCGACACAGCATCATCTGTGTCAGGAGGCCAGCATCACAGGAGCAGATAGAACGTAACAGTGCCAGGCAGGGGCATGTGGTAACTGTTCTGACCTTCTTCTTCTTCAAAGGCTGGTCCACCTTAGACTGCAGGAAGTCAATGAGCTTGGTCTGCTGTGAAATCGTACCCTCCATCTTCACTTTCTCGTGTGAGTACGCAGCCTGTGGTGAACATGGTTTAAATGCTGGAATTAGCAAGCGAGCGATTTGAGGAAGGTCTTTTCACCCTGCTTCCCAGCTGTGTGAATGTCATGTTGCCGGACGCTCGGTAACTCTGAGGCTCTTTACATGGCACTTAATCTGTTGAGCAAATCCAGCAGAGGGGTGCTCACCCAGACATGTCTTTCTGACTGCAGCACTCTTCAGAATGCTTGCTCTTTTCTAGTGCTTGTTGTACCTAAATAATCATATTATTGGAAGATGCACTAGTCACAGACTCACTGTGTGAGCGTCTCACACAGAGCAGTACATCAGAGCCCACGACAGCCCGAAACAGGGCTAATTAACTGCTCAGGTCACATTCTTGGAAATGGTCTTATATACTATATATTATTATAGATTAAACGACATTTAACGTCAGATTAACATGCTCAGATCTCCTCTAATGCAAATGAACGTCTCCTCGTTTTTCACTACGGATTTTCCATCTCAGGGTTGTTGTTGATCTGGAGCACAACCAGAAAATGGCACGGCACGGCACAACCGGCACACAGCACAGCAAGGCACGACACGACCAGAACACAGCACGACACAATGCCATGACCAGCGCACAGCACAGCAAGGCACGACACGACCAGCACACAACATAGCACAACACAGCACGGCCAGCCCACAGCACAGCATGGCACTCACGTAAATGTATTCATATGTTAAGGTCACTTAGAGTCACTGCTTTAGAGTCACTGTACTACATGTCTTTGGAGCACAGAAAGGGACACAGGGAAAACAGACACACACAGGTATGCACCGAGATGCACAGAGATGCACAGAGATACATAAAGATAGCAGGACTGCTGAGACATCAGTGCTATCCACTGGCCAATGAAGCACAGAAAGTCAAAAATGTATTCATGTAAGAAGATTAATTTTCTATTTCTGATGAAACATAACTTTCCTGCCGAATTAATCATATCAGCTGTCATTCCACCGTAATCAAAAACGAGGTGCAGCATTTGTCATTTGAATCACTACATCTGATTACAGACCCCAGAACAAAAGAAATACTAAGTCCATTAAATCCAGCAATTAAAATGTCTTCATGGCAAATTTAATTAATCAGCAGCATTAAACGGGTCCAGTGCAAAACAGCCTCACTCGTTATGTATGGAAATCTCCAAATGAAATCACTGAATACAATTCAGTTCAGCAGCTGTTCTTTCTGCCATGGGAAAGTCTGCCCTGCAGAGGCGTTTCCATGAGGATGCCTTGGTCAAATAAGGCTGGTGTGGTCCTTCAGCACCTCGTCAGATGACAGGCAATCCTATCACTTGGAATTACTGAGGCTGGTCTCAAAAACATATTACAGAATCAATAAAATCACATCCTGCTAGGCTGAAAAGATCCTTCACAGGAAAAACAGCTGAATTAAATCAGAGCTTGTTATAATCTGTGAAGGACAAGAAAAGGGCCACCTGCCCGTAAATTCACAAGCCGAAGTAAACTGGAGCGTGCAGGGTGGCAAGTTCACATATTTTGCACTCTGCGTGTGCTGGAACAGGGGCAACCAGGCACGAAAAACAACAAGAGGAAGTTAAAATCTGCCGAAAGAAAAAGAGCACTAAAAGAAAAATCAAGCAGTGAAACAAAACTGTCCTTTCCTGCAACGTCTACATCACTACCATACATCAACCACAGCCCAATACAGCAATATCTCACACACTTGAGCATTTTGAGTAAGGACTTGGGTACTCTTGTCACAATAGTGTCATAGAACAGCCATGAGCCTTAGTGACCTTGGTCCTAACTAAGCTAGGGACAGAAAAACCACCTCCTTCTAGGATGATGAGCTCTGGGTGTGACCACATAGTCATGGACTCTCTCAGAAATATTCAAATACCCGTCTCATGCTGGCACTCTATCACAAAGTAACCTAGGAATGCACATCAGCCTCTGCCAACCACCCCCACCTGGATGTTCTCCAGCTGGTACTCCAGGTCTGTGCGCTCTGTCTTCAACAGGTCAGTCTGGTCCAGGGCATCCTGCAGGCCCTGTGTCAGCCGGAAGATGTGCGCCTTCTGCATGTCCATTTGCTGCTGCAGCTTGCTTTGCTGTGTGGGGGTGCGAGACATCTCAGTCAGCAAAGCAGCTCTTAGCATTGACCTTTTACATCCACTGTAAGCCAACAGCTACTTATCAAAGCCAGCAGCAAAAATTATCACCATCATCGGTGATATTACAGTTTCTTACAATCATTTTCACAATTGCCTCAATACCATGTCCACTTTATCAAACCTCTTCACATAGTATGCTTTACAAAATGCACATCAGTCCACATCAGTCCACATCAGCCACATCAGTCCACATTTCAATGCAAATATGACCATTGTATACTGTAGATGGTAAAAAGCTGCAAACTAAAAAACTGAATAAACGTTTGCTAAAGTCAGAATAATCTATCATTTCAAGTATATGTACAGTTTCATTTGTCAAAATGCAGATTTTTTTCATCTACAGTGATCTAAATTTGAAATGAAAGTTAACTGTTTTGAACAGAGTGTCTCTGTCTGAAAAATATCCGGTAGTTGTACAGATTTTTGTTGGTATTAAACATTGGCTGAGAGAGCTATTCATGAATGCTTGAAGAAGTGTTGATTGAATGCAATTTTTTTTATCAAAGCAATGCAAAATTACACAGGCTAATTCACATAGTCTATTAATATGGTGCATGTGTTTTGAAAGTGTTTTGAAAAAGGGGACATGGTATTGAGACAAGTGTGAAAACAATTGTAAAAAAAACTGTAGGACACTGTTCTCTTAAGAAGGAGCTGTAATAGGAGAGGAGTATGCACAGATTTTCAGGAAAGACGAGAAAGCGGACTGGCTGGACACTGAGCTTGACCTCAGACTTGTTCCCCTGAAGCAGGCACCATGGCGATGAGCCGTCCTCCGACCCCCTCACCTCATCCAGAAGTCTCTGCTTCAGCTCGCGCTCCGTCTCCAGTTTCTGCTGTAAGCTGCGGGCGTTCATTTCCAACATGGAGTGCTTCTTTTCCAGGTCATTCAGCTGGCGGCAGGACACCGTGCGATTTAGTACCAGCTTAGTCACAAAGCACTGCTCTTACAGGCATCTGGTCATTTATAACTAAAAAAAAAACTTACATTGTTTTTATGTCTATGTATTATTCTGTCGCTACTTTAAATGTCTTTCTGCTATCACTGTTGATCTCCTGGATTTGATCACCTTACATTTCACTGCAGGTTATGGTCTGACTGTATGCCTTGCATGTGACAAATAAAACCCTTGAATCCCTTGAATAACTATCTGCTTTTAAACTGCTTCCCCTTTTTCACTGGACTGGCTCATTAATCCATCTGTCCAACTATGGTCCTGCCACCGACACGAGCTTGTGGGGTGGGGGGGGGGGGTTAAGGGCCTGATCTGACTGCCCACTCCTGTCATCAAGCTGCTATCGCCTTCAGTCAGCAAAGGAGATGGGGGCTACTCACCCAATTCCCCCCACAGCCCTGCAGGCCCCCAACACTGAGGAGGGGAAAACCAGGAACCTCGCTGTCTGTCCCATCTGACCCTCTGCAAGCTGCTCTGCCTCCTCTGGCCCCCCTCATCACACGCAGCATCCCACATCAGGGTCTGAACCTGCTCCTCATCCTCAGCAGTCTTGTGTTTTTTTGTTTTTTTTAAATGTTACTTAGCAAGGCAGGAAGGGACAGGGAGGGACTGGTAAGGGGACCCACTGTGTCAGAGAGGCTCTCAGCTTTTAGCCTCTGCTCCTTCAGTGCCTGCTGCAAGGCCAGGATCTCCGCCTTGTGTTCCTTCACTGCCAGCTCCACAGCCTGGCGGGACTCGGTGTTGCGCTGGTCCGTGCGCAACCTGAGCACAGAGAAAGCAGAAGAGGGCCTCAGCTCACAGGCTTTGAACAGGCACTGCAGCGTGTTTGAACAGGCACTGGGATGTGTGTGGAAAACGATGTGCGTGTGGGCATGGGGTGCAGAGAGTGTGGAGACCCAGGGCACCGTGCAGTCAGGTGTTATGACCCCAGCTTGGGGAAGGGCTATAATAGATGGAGATGGGGAGGCGGAAGAAGTAGGGGAGACAACAGGCGGAGGGTAGATGGCAGTGATTATACTGGCAAAAGGGACAATACAATAATACAGTATGATAAAATACTACAGCAATACAGTGCTATACAATAATACTCTGGTGCTGGGCTTCGGAAGTGTGTGAAATTGACTACAGCCTGACCTGCTCTGCTTCTCGCTGTCCAGCAGCCTCTGCAGCTCCCGGATCCTCCTCTCCGCTTGGCCCTTCTCCTCCTCCATGGCCGTGCGCCACGCCTCCCACTGCCGCTCCTTCTCCAGCAGCTCGTCATTGAGCGTCTCCAGCTCGAGGACCTGCTCCTCCAGCATGGTGCACGTCGTCTTGAGGGTCTCGATATTCTGCCCAGGGAGGAATCCGGGAGGTTTATGGGGGCCTCCTGAGCTCAAAGTGATCGGCGTGTTAAACAGGGTCGTCACTGTGATCATCTTTGGTTTTGCTGATCTTAAACCGGCCGGTTATGCAGCTTGTATCATTTTCGAAACAGCTTCATTCCCCAGGCTGTAGGAGCAATGAACACTCCTGCCCACCCCCACTGAATCATTGACCTTCCCACTGTACCAGACACTTCTGTTCACCAGTGTAATCTTTCATTTGCACTTTTCTTTTTGCTTTTGCACCTATGTATAGATAAAAAGACAATATATTATTTACTTACTTATTTAATGATGTTTGCTGTTACATCCTTAAAACACACTATGAAAGAGAGATGCTGCTAAAAAGATTCATGCTGCTAATCCCTGCAAAATTTACCATGGATCATCCATCCATCCACCCATCTATCTATCATTCAGCCAGACACGAATCCCACCCAGCAGAACCATTTCACGTATTAAAATTCAGGTAAAATGTGCCACCAGGGAGTATTATTTTACTAAATCCCATCAGTTATATTTCATTTATTAGAAACTGTTATCAAGGTCTCCAGAGCTGCCAACTCTCACACATCTGGCTTTCAGATTCTCACGCAAAAAATCTTATGTCAAATTTATATTTTTCCATTATAAACCTAAAATTAGTTGCAGCAAAAGCTTTGGGCAGTTGACAAACCCTACAGACTGTTACATACATGTAAATGCATGTATATGCATATGCAGACTCGTCTCAAACTGAAAATCTCACTCCAGCCTGCTGACTAAAGTTGGCAACCCTGGGTCTCATTATGCTAAGGCTGTGCTAAAAGCTAGCTGCAGCACCAGCTCTGCAGTACAAGGTGCATCTGGCTAAGCACATTACACAGTGGCTTTGTTTTTGGTAGGCGGCTCGAACTAACATGCACTGACAGATGCAGATGAACGGGCCTGAAGCACAGAAAGCCAATATAGTGCAGAATGCTAAACATGGGTCCTGAGGATTAGCTCTAGACTGTCTTTCAATGCACATATTAAAATCTGCAGCTTATTTATACAAATTTATATTCATTAGCATGACGACTCAGATGCTTGCCAAACATCCATCCTGTTCAGCAGACATGACCACTGATCCACTAAGCCTGTAACCAGTAAGTCCTCAAATCATCAACCCTCCCCATCCCCTCTTTAGACATTATAGTGGTATGAACCAAGCAGGTTCATATCTATTCAGGTTTATCATATTGGAAGCATTGAGTGGACCACAAGCGGCTTGCTTTCTGAAAGCGTAGCATCTCCATTGTGGCATTTACCATCACGGTAACTGATTTTAACAGTACCCCGACCTTCTCAGCTGTAATCTTGAAATCTGGAAATTGACTGCAGACTGCAGATTGGTAACTGTGGATCATGGTCATGACTGAGGGGTTACAGCGTGTTCACAATACAATGTGTCTGCAGCCGCAGAGAGTGGTTCCTATATCCTCAGCTGAATTACTGATTTCAAACTCCAAGCAGTCTTCCCAAACACAGCTATAAGGGGCAAGAAAGAAACTTCTTTTTCCATAAGGTCAATAGAACTCCTGAATTACCAAATTCATCCAACTATTTTCTAACTGCTTCTCTTTGAATTACCAAACACAAATTATAATTTATAATTATAACATTTGCTCACAGCAGGTGAGGAATCCTTCCAAAGTCTGCTGTAAAATTTACACATTCTCAGCCTATGGAGTTTTTGTCACAACACGCCTCACCTTTACTCTTCAGTTTAAGCTCTCCCCTTTAGGGCAACAGCACCATGTTATGCAACCGTGGGGAGTAAGAGACTGCGTGATATAGTGGTGCCCACTCATGTTCCTTCCTACTGGAGTACAGCAGAATAGCCGGTCTTAAGCAAGCCGCATAGTGAAGTGTCCCCAAAGTAATTCCATCCAAGCTTTTAGCCTCGATTCACGTGTTTACAGGACTGAGGGGACTATGTACTTGTTTCTGATTGATGAGACAATAAGGATGTACCCATTTCGGGTCACTCAGAGGATGATGTACTTGTTCCCAGTTGTTGAGAGGATGATAATATATCTGTTTCTGGAGCTGCACAATATGAAATCTCGATTTCCTCTCGATTATATGGCGCATGTGCAATAATCATCACGGCTTTAGATGACAGGCGGAACATCTGTTCGAACACAGCTTTTCAGTACTATACGGACGTTCACTTAAACCCACAATTTAGTAAGCAGATTATTAGTATGCCTAAAATATTATCTGGAATGTATCTGTATACATTCCACACATCCTTATGTTTAATAAACGTGCAGGACATTAAACTGCAAGAAGTCTTACGTTGTTTAATCACAATAACTCTTCTTTCAAAAGATGTTATGGCTGCTGAGCTGTTTCTGTGCTTATAGCTTCCATGACATACTGTACCAAAATAGTAGTATGTGGTGTGCTCCACTAACCGAATTTAATAAACATAAGGACACAAATTTATAAAGATTACTAAGTTCTGGGCATCACAATATGCATCTAATTAATATTTTAAGCATACTACTAATTTTCTTTCTAAATTGTGGGGGTAAGTGAATGTCCGTTTAGTACCGAAAAAGCCAGCATGCAGACAGATGTTTCAACCGTCATCTAAAGCCCTGCTGCACCATATAATCACAAAGAAATCAAAACCTGTTATTGTGCAGCCCCACCTGTTTCTGGTCTCTTTCTGGTGGATGAGATGATGATGCTGCTGATGAATCTTTTTGTGGTTGTTGCAAAGATGATGCACCTGTTTGTGGATGTTGAGTTTATGATAATCCACCTGTTTATGGTCATTGAGATGATGATGATGTATGTGTTTCTGGTTGTTGAGATGATAATAAAGTTGTACCCATTACTGGTTGTTGAGGTGAGATGTACTGTATCTGTTTCTGATTAATGATGATTGATGGTTGATAAAATGATGTAGCTGTTTCTAATTGCTGAGATGATGACGATGTACCTGTTTCTGGTTGTTGAGATGATGATGTACCTGTTTCTGGTTGTTTCAATGATGATGTGCATGTTTCTGGTTGTTGAGATGATGATGTACCTGTTTCTGGTTGTTGAGATGATGACGTACCTGTTTCTGGTTGTTGAGGTGATGATGTGCATGTTTCAGGTTGTTGAGATGATTATGTACCTGTTTCTGGTCATTGAGATGATTATGTACCTGTTTCTGGTCTTTGAGATGATGATGATCATGATGAAGATGATGTACCTATTTGTGGTTCACAAGATGATGATGATGTACCTGTTTATAGTTGTTGCAATGATGACACTAATGCGCCTGTTTCTGGTGGTTGTGATGATTACGGTGATGTACCTATTTGTGGTTGATGAGACGGTGCCATACCTGTTTCTGGTTGTTGAGGTGCATCTCCCGGTCAGCCACCTCCCTCCGCAGGCGATCTACATCCTGACTAAGTTGCAGGCGGTCTTCATTCTCATCTGATGCCTCGTCCAGCTGCTTGGACAGGTAAAAGTTCTGCCGATTCAACTCAGCATTGTCTTGTGTCAACTGTGTAAGCTGCTCCTCCAGATCAGTGATCACCTGAGAGGAAACCAGATGGAATACAACATTTATGACCCAGGGCATTCTGGACCTTTGGAACAGTGTCTGAGCCAGCACCTGCTTTTATTTATTACTATAAAGAAGAATCACTTAAGTGTCCCTAACATGAAAGGAAGATCCTGTTCATTAGAATATAAAACAGCAAAAACAATACTCCTGGACACGCATACATATTCTGGTATCCAAGAATAAATCTGATGTGAAGAAAATTAATGTACAATAATAGTTTCATAATCCTCTACATCAGTGGTCACCAGGCCTGCTTCTGGAGACCTACCACCCTGCAGATCTTAGGTGCTGCCCTTAGGTGCTCCATCTTTGAATATTCAAAAAAGTCACTTCTGCTTCTTCTTCTTTACCCATCTGCAACTTCTCCAAAGAGTCATTTTTTTCCCAAGAGCAGCTTTACGAGAGCAGTATGTTGTGTGTAAATACATGCATTTCAGTTTTAAAAGCAGAGGACCTGTAGACTTGTGTTTTCATTCTTTTACTTTGCAAAGACATTTTTTGTACAATACAAAAAAACATCAGCTCATATGAATGATTTAGTATTATTGATGATAATGATTAAATGGGAACAAGGTTTCCAAGGCAACAAAGCTGAGTCTGCTGAGGGTGTTTTGAACCTTGAAGACTACACGCTGTGAGTCCTACGCCCTTCAGCTTGATATAGAACACCGATGGCTTTTGCCAGTACTTAAAAGCATGAGTCAGCGTGGTTGAAATGCATTTGCCATGCAAAGTAAGAAAAACTAAGACAAATCCTTTTTGGTGCTCAGGTCAGCTGCATACAGATGAAGTGGGTGGAGCAGCATTGAGCTGCACGGCACAGGAAAAATATCTGACTTAAACTTGGAATAAAGCAGAAAACTATATAAAGTTGCTTTGGAGATATATATGAAGAAAGAAACTCGGCTTTTTGTGTTGCTGTTGTGCACAGAACAAAAACAGCTGCCATAGTGTTTCAATACTCATCAATGGTCCATACCTGTTTCTTGTCTAGCCCTAGTTAAGTTCTCCCCAAGCGAGCTCGATGGGCCGAATGGCCTCCTCTCGTTTGTATAGTTCTTATGTTCTTATGTATGTGCCTGCCCTTCCCCCCCTCCTCAGTCGAACATTGCATTTGCTACCTGCCAGTCCCCCAGTATGTGTTTGCTTTATATAGTTTCTAGTTCTTGTTTTCCTCTTGGTTTCTTGCTGGTTCTGTTCTTTGTTAGTCTTGGTAATCTACCTCATCTACCAATGGCCCTAGGCAAACAAGACAAGCAGTCAGGGCTGGCTGGGAATGTCAGGCTAAATATTCTTTGCAAGATAAACTTAACTGACACCATCAGAAAAACTTCTCGCATGTGCTGAGTAAGCCCGGGAACACTGAGCCTGAGGGAACTGTGTTCCAGGCCTCAACTGGTGCAGTGGTAGCAAAGCGCTATGGCAAGAATGCAGATAATATATTTTCCTGTGGCGAGGGAAGCTGTCAAGCTGAAGATGGAGACCTTTAGGGAAATGCTTGCTTGACATCTCCTGAGAAAGTTTAAAGGTACTGACAGTCCAGAAGAGTTGCATCAAAGGCAGTTGAGAAGGTGAAAGCTTGTGCATGATAGAAATTTGGAAAGGCTATAGAGGGAGTTTTTCAGGCATCCCCAAGGATATTTTGGAAAACTGTTCAGTGCTTCAGGAGGGGTTGTGGGACCTTGCTCAGACTGTGTTCAGCCAGAATGGGGAAGAGCTAACCAGCTCTGAGGGTCAAGGAGTTGAAGGAACATCATGGATATCCAGTGGAAGGCAGTGTTGGAACCTTCAGCTGGGTCAGATAGAGACTCTTACTAATGCTGAATTTTCTGTGATGGTCTTTAATAGTGGAAAGGCCGCAAGGGTAGATGTAATCTGTCATTATGTCAAGAATTGGATGTTGTTGGTGTGATGTGGCTGTTGTGCCTCTTCAGTGCTGCATGGAAGGCAAATAAGTACCTCTATAATGGTAAACAGGGTGGTGGTCTCAGTAATAATGCTTTTCAGCCTCATTCTATGTTTATGCCAAGGCATTGGAAAGAAGACTGGGTGTTCTGGCAAGAATGCGTTTCCTGATTTTCATGGACAGGATAACAAGGTTCAGCCAGAGGTGACATCCCAGCTATTTGCAGATGATGCTAGGCTTCTGGTATTATGTTACCAGGACCTTCACCATGCACTAAAGGAGTCTGATGCAAGGTGTGAAGCAGCAACAATAAAAATCAGCAAGAATAATTCCAGGGCAGGTGCTATCTTGGAAGTGAGTGGACTGCTACTTATAAGTGAGTGAGGCCTTTAGTACCCTTCATGAGAGACCCTGGGGTACTGTTCACAAGTGATAAGATGGAATGTGAGACTGACAGGCAATGGAATGTGTCATTCTGAAGCGATAAGTGAATTCAAGCGTGATACTGTAATAAGATGCCACCATTTCAATACGGAAGTTTGTGATATTTCTTCCCTGTTAGATATTACATGGTCAACTGTAGGTGGTATTATTGCAAAGTGGTAGTGTTTAGGAACAACAGATAGCCATGAAGTGGCCAACCACGTAAAGTAACAGAGTGGATTCGCCCAGTGCTGTGGCGAATAGTCTGTAAAAGTCACCAACGTTTTGTTGAATCAATAACTGCAGAGTTCCAACCTTTCTCTGACATTAACTGCAGCACAAAAACTGTGCACTGGGAGCTTCATGGAATGAGCTTCCATGGCTGAACAGCCGCATGCAAACCTCACATCACCAAGCACAATGTCAAATGTCAGATGGAGTGGTGAAAGGCATGCCACCACTGGACTCTGGAGCAGTGGAAACATGTTCTGTGGAGTTATGAATCACGCTTCGCTGTCTGACAGTCTGATGGATGAGTCTGGGTTTGGCGGATGCCAGGAGAACGTTATCTGCTTGACTGCATTGTTCTAACTGTAAGGTTTGGTGGAGGAGGGATAATGATATGGGTTTTTTTCAGGGGATGGGCTAGGCCCCTTAATTCCAGTGAAGGGAACTCTTAATGCTTCAGCATACCATGTCATTTCGTACAATTCTAAGCTTCCAACTGTTTGGGGAAGGCGTTAATCTGTTCCAGCATGACTATGCCATCGTGCATAAAGCAAGATCTATAAAGACATGGTTGGGTGAGTTTGGTGTGGAAGAACTTATCTGGCCTACACAGAGCCCTGATCTCAACCCCATTGAACACCTTTTGGATGAACTAGAACGGCGATTGTGAGTCAGGCCTTCACATCCAACATCAGTCCATGACCTCACAAATGCTCTTTAGGATAAATTGGCACACATAGATACCCTCCAAAATCTTATGGAAAGCCTTCCAGGAAGAGTGGCAGCTGTTATTGCTACAAAGGGGGGATGAACTTCATATTCATTTCTATGGATTTAGAATGGGATGTCAAGAAAGTTCCTTAGGTGTAATGACCAGGTGTCCCGATACTTTTAACCGTATAGTGTATGGCCCTTTTCTCCTTTATTGCCATGAACTGTGAGTAATGACTGAAAGAGCAAGGTGATGAGAACAAGCAGCTGAAATGAAGTTCCTCTGCAGGTTGACTGGGCTCACCCTGCCTGACACGATGAGGAGTATGGAGATCTTGAGGGACCTGAAAATAGGTCCTTTGGATTGAGAGGAGCCAGCTAAGGTGGTTTGGGCATCTTATACAAATGCCACCTGGTCAGCTCCCAAGGGAGCTGTTCTGGACACATCCCACTGAGAGTATGCCCCAGGGCAGACCAAGGGCATGACGGAAGGATTATATCTCCAAAATGACTTGGGAACATCTAGGAATCTCCCAGAGTCCATGGCCTCGGTAAGGGAGGTCTATTTTGACCCACCTGGCAGTCTGCCACTGTAACCCTCATCCAGATAAACAAAAGTAGATGATGATGAATGTTATCTTCCAGAAAAAGGAAAGGGCAGCATGGTGCCTCAGTGGGTAGCACTGTCTCCTCCATCTTGTGGAGGTTACATGTTATTCCTGTATTTGCCTGGGTTTCTTCCCAGGTGGTCCAGCTCCTTCGTGGTGACTCTAAATTAGCCTATGCTGTGTGAAGGAGTATATGTGCACAGTGACGGACTGGCCGCCTATCTATGGATGGATTGTATTAGTAAAAGCAGCTTCCAGCAAAACAACAGGTGGCATTACTAAGCAACTAATAAACAATCAAGAGGAAATTGGATTTGGCCAGTCAGTGATTGAAAGTGCAGGCAGGTAACATGAACTTTGAATCTAGGCTCCTCTTGCTACTATCAGAGATCCAGTCAAATCCCACGACACCTGACACATTCTGAATGCTGCAGATGATAGACTATTGACCAAAAGATCACTGGTTCAAGAATGTCACAAAAACTGTACCACAAGTATAAATGACTGAATTACATAATTGAAAATATTTCAGTGTCTTTGAAGATCAGTTAATTTGGCATAGATTTCCTTAAAAGGATGGTTGGTACCCTTAACTTTTTCCCTCCAACGCTATCCGATAAGTAACTGTGGGGGAGGGATCACATAAAAATATTATTCACTGTCTTTATTCAGCCAAAGCAGCGTGAAGAGCATGCATTCTTGTTTTCTTGTGGTCAGAGGGAATTGATTTCAGCTGTCTTATCAAAACACGATGCACAAGGTCTTAAGAGAGAGGGTGGGGCAAGAAGGGGGGCAATAATTTTGTGTTATTATATTGCATTTAAAAGCAAAACAAACCAGCCTTGTGTGTTTACACAAAGTCATTTCATAATGCTACCCACACACAAATGGGTTCTAAGAACCACAAAATCTCACATTAATTGTAATTTCTCGTTTGAGATAATTTAAGGGACAGATGTCCCCGAGATAATGGGAGCCAGTGCAGAAGCTGTCACGTACCGCACAGCTGTCCCGAAGGGCATCAAACTTGCGCTGAATATCATCTCGGTGAGCCTTGAGAAAGCAAGAGAGGTAGTGCTTCAGGGTAATGGCTTTTCACACGGACTGCTGTAACAGTGGTGAATGCTGAAAGATGGCTCAGAAATGGAGGCCACTGTGACGCTGTATATTTCAAATGCTGGACATTCTGGTAGATGCTCTGAGCAGCGTACACTCCTGAAATTCACCGGTACTCTGAATATTAGATAAAGCTGTATGTTAACCATACCTTCTTAATACATTTACTATGCATTCACAGAACATTCATAAGCAGCATGTGAGTATACCTTAATATTTTAACATACCTTAACAGCTTTAATATACATTAATAATAATAATAATAATTTAATATACATTAATAACAAACATGATATGATTATGATTATAACGTTTGCTGTTTTCATATAATGTTTGTTATTAACGTATATTAAAGCTGTTATGTTAGGATGTTATGTTATTATGTTATATTAGTCTATGATAGTGGACATTTCTGTAAACCACAGCTGCACTATGCATTTGTTTAGACCATGAAAGTGAATATTCTTGGAAATTTTCAAAAAACATACATTCTAATATACTAGCAGTATGGCAGATTTCACTATAGTTACACTGGCCATTCCACAGGGGTAAGAGTACGATGGCTGGGGTGCCATGATAGTGTCATGCCAGCCCTCACCCGCAGGGCCGTGATCTCCTCTTCTGCCTCTGCAGTGGTCTCCTCCAGCTCAGTCTTGGCCTGCTGCAGCTGGCTTTCCAAGGATTTGCGTGCTGCTTGCAACACACTGATCTGGGACTCGCGCTCCTGCAGTGACAGCGTGAGTTCAGTCACCTGCCGCTTGATCTCTAGCTTCTGTTCCTCGTGCTCCAGGCCCATCTGCCAAAGGAAAGTGGGACCAAGGGTTCACATTGTCAGAGTGCTCAGTAAGTGGAGCCCTATCATCCTCCGCTAAGAAGGCCCATCTTGTCTTTACAGAATTGTGGTGAATAAAATTTACCTATTTATCTACCTATCTCCCCATGCTAGGCTGTGATTTCCCCTAATGTCCACTGTTCCCTCACCTCCCTCAGCCGTGTCTCCAGCTCCAGCAAACGGTTCTTGTTGCTCTGCTCCTGTTGGTTCATCTTCTCCAGGTGCTCCTCCAGCTTTGCATTCTGTGCCTCCAGCTTTCCCGCCTGTGACTCCAGGTAGAACTTCTGCTGCCTCAGCTCCGAGATCATCTCTTCTTGGGCTTTCCTGGGGAGTAGGTAGGGGAACATCTTGACACACAACATCAGCGAGAGGCCAATTCACAATTCCCCAAAGCTGGGAATATGACTGGAGATACTGGAGACACTTGAGTGAATGAACACCAAGAGAAGACAGGGTGGAAAGTACCAGTCCGTCCCACCTCCATGTTAGAAGGCTACAGCTAAGCCATCACACTGACACTCACATGTTCTTCTGGGTGTAGATGTTGCTATTGGCTGCTAGTTTGTTGGCCTCTGTAAGCTCAGCAATCCTCTGTTCCAGGTTCTTCATCTTGGACTCCATGGCGTTGATGGTCTGGAACAAATGATAGAGACATACCCCACGATGTACAATCACCTGAATTTATATAGAAAAGGTCATTTCAGCTCTGCTACTTAGTGCATTAGCCAGTTAACACAGTATACTGGAACTTCAGGAACTGCTCTTGTACAGGAAAAGCATTTCTCTTCACCATTCAAACCAAGCACCACCCCCTTTTGAGGAGAATGCTGATGCATCTTAAATCTGGACACCTTCAGCTTCCCATAAGTGCAGGCATTACCTCCCTCATTACCTGAATTATGTGCATCTTAAGCGTTTTCTGGCAGGCGTTATGCACAGATGATACAACCCTGAGGATCGTTTGAGGGGTTAGCAAAAAAAAGCCATCTTATTGAATACTGCCATCTCCAAATTCTATGATGAGAAGCAGGACGATGTGTTCTCTCTCTCTCTCTCTCTCTCTGACGCAGTGGAGCTCTACCTGATACAGGCAGACTCTGCACAGCTGCAGTTGTGTGAAGGAGAAGGGCTCTTATTTGAACTTGGCTTGCCTTCCAAAAGTTATCTAACCTTTCAACCACCACTAATGACAGGAAAAACATGCTGATAAACAGGATCAATCACTGGGCACAGTCATGCGCTGCCTAGATGAGCTTCACTATTTACCTTATTGGGGGCCACTGGTATAAGATTTAAGACACTATACCGAGTCAACATTTTGCAGGGGGGCAACCAGCTATCTGAATGGACCTGAACTGCACATTCACAGCACATTCATTCATGCATTGTCCAACCTACCATTCAATACTATTTATTTCTGAGTCATTACAATGGAATTCCGTGCAACACTTTCTTGGTTCATAATGAATTGTAACCTGTTTTGTAATCTAGATCAATAGCCTCCCGATCCTCCCTGCAAAAGGGCCCATTGGCCCTCAGCGGGCCCCCGATTTCTGTGGGCCTCAGTGTGGCTGCGCTGACTATAGTTCTGCCAGTGACTTGAGATGCACTGTGAGCTATATTTATGAATGAAGCGGATTGAAAGAGAGAAATTAGTATGTAGTTTCAGAACATCGTAATTCCTACACCCCTTTGAATAATATCACACTGATTTGTTTGAAAGCAGGTAAAGATTTATTTTCTAGTACAGTCAAACCTCGGATTGTGAGTTACTTGGTTTGCCAGTGTTTTGCAAGACGAGCAAAATTTTTTAAAAATTTTTTACTTGATAAACAAGCGAGGTCTTGCAGTACGAGTATTACGTATACGCTTTGTCTGCCGAGCGTCACGTAATCACAACTGAGTCGATGGTTCTTCTCTCTATTGCTACAGGATTGTGGGTAATCGTTTTGACTCGTATAGTCAAAATTTAGTAGAAAAGCACCACTCGAATAAGGATGAAAAGCGATGAATCTATTTAACGACAATGCAATGTCCATATTTCCGCGAAATCAAAAAGGAGGCAAAAGCAGCTGTCATTGGATAGGTTCCTTGTTAACCCTCCTCTTCTCCTCTCTTTCGTCTCCCTCACACCATCCATGATTCTTTTCAAAGGTAAAGTGCAGGTTAATTTGTTTTATGTATTTTTACATTATTTTGTATTAATCATTTTTATATGAATATTTTTGAGTTGTGGAACGAATCATCTGAATTTTCATCATTTCTAATGGGTAAATTTTCTTTGATATATGAGTGCTTTGGATTACGAGCACGTTTCCGGACAGAATTATGCTCGCAATCCGAGGTTTTACTGTACTTTCTTCCCAATTAAGTGAAAAAACTACCCTACCCCCACATGCCATTTTGAGGCTCATTAAAAAGCTTGTAGATTTTAGGCTTTCCATTGAGCTACAGCTGAGACTATTCTCAGATCTATTAGTAAGTGACAATGTTGCCCACCTTGCGCTTCATTTCTTCCATTACTGCCTATGCCCCTGTGCTAGAACATCCCGCATGTTTTGGCACATGCTGTACATGCAATGGCTGTTGTCTTAATTACAGCGGAGGGCCCTCACCGCCTTCTGCTCGCCGAGGAGCTTGCACTTCTCCCGGGCCTCTTCCTCTTGCTCAGTTTGTTTGGACTCCAGGGTCTCCTTTTCAGCCATGTCTGCCTTCATTTGGGCCTCGAGAATCTGGCCATGGGGGACAGGCGGAACACCAAGTCAGGCTTCCCCAAAGACACGTGAGGACATGCACACTGAAATTCAACAAATGAGACACATATTTTTTGTACTGATCCGACACTACCAGTGTTTAAATAATAAGCTGTAGGTTTCTGCCTGGCTGTGTGGAAGAGACTGTGATCATTCTTTTATGTGTACGGCAACATCAGGCTTAACTTAAACCTTAAACAAAGCTTTCCTAACTCTGTAAAACAAAATGTAACACATGCATGCATATACTGTATATACACATATAAGCGGACTTGTAATTGAAAGATTGCTGGTTCAAATCCCTGACCAGCAAGGTACCGTCCCCAAGCACTACTCCCTGGGTGCTAAATTAGCTGCCCCCTGCTATGTCATGATGTCACATATGGGTTAAATGCAGAGGACACATTTCATTGGTGTGTCATGTTTTGCCTTTTTCAACCTTTACATTTTTCTCAATTCTCAGCTTGAAAGGTCTTTACAGAGGAACAAAACCTTTACTGTAAAGGCTGATTTATAGTTATGCGTTGACTTGATGTCGTAAGTATGACGTAGCCATGGACCCTACGCCATAGCCCGACGTGCACCACCCCAGAAATGTAACTACACGTCGCGGAATGCAAGAACTGTGATTAGTCCACTTGGTAGTGTTCATTTTTTTTTTTATAGGAGAAGAAGGCGTATACCCAGGTGTACTTATACTGATGAACCACAATCGTTAGTTATTTAATGTTAGATATAACTAACTCTTCAGTTTAATTTTCTCTCGCTTCACCAGAATTTGCGCTAAAGTTTGTTGTCTCAGTCTTTCTCTGCTAGCATTAGCAAACTCCATGTACTCTGCACTATGGTGCGTCTTTAGATGTCTGATAAAATTGCTTGTGTTAAATGGCATGCTGCCCTTCCTCCTCTTGACCCTTTAGCAGAACAGAGCTTACAGTCTGCTTTACTTCTGTCGTCGTCCCTTATCTTAATATAATGCTGACACCCTCCGTCTATACTCGCCAGTGCTGGTGTTGTGGCATGTATCCTTCCCAAATGTTTCCGGTTGACAAATCTCTCGCTAGATGCCAAAATCTGATTGGGCAGCAACAAAAAAAAAAGAAAAATGCCACGGCTTTGCGTTTTAATGTAATGTTGGTATGGGTTAATGGTAAGGGACAATTTTTACGAGTACGAATATGAGCATATGAGCGCAGTATTGGCAAGATACCCGATACCGGTATTGATATAGGTACATTCCTATTTAAAATATTTTTATAATTTAGAAGTCCACTAACAGCAATATAAGATTTTCAAGATACTGGAAGTTCATACCCTTCTCCACTCATTCATTTGCCCATTTTCAATAACCACACATCCAGTTTACCCAGCAGGCTGTGTGCCAGTTAAGGGCATGAACCTTTAGGATGGCAGCTCAAATCCGGGAAGTGTTCTATGGTGATCCAGTGGTGCTATGATCTACCATCAGGACCCATTCAGGTGTGGGTATTTAGGGTTAACAGCTCCAGTAAACCAGCCAACACATTCTTCCCCAATCTCCCATAACATCTTATTCCTTACAGGACTGCAGTAAGCCTGTGGCCTATCCAAGGTAGCATGGGGCACTAGTCAGGGCACACCCTGAGCAGAATGCTAGCGTTATCATAAAAAAACGTAAATTGTAAATGACAATACCAATATTTTAAATGCAGTTCAAGATGCACCTGGTAGAGGGAGCTCACATACACAGGGGCAATTTAGAGTCAGCAGTTCAGGTTAATAACATGGCCAGACACACTGCTTGCTGAGCCACCATGCTGCCCATGTTCGGCTTGTTTTTTTTTCTTAACCAGCAATGTTAATTGCCAACCACTTCCTGAAAAATTAGCAAAAATAACCTCTTTTCTGACCGTAGGACGTTGCAAGATGTGCACTTCTTTCTGCCAGGATGCACTAGTGGTGCAAATTAGCACAGCACCCAAAATGCTTCATGCCAGGGGTATGGTGTTGAACAGCAATGCCGAAATTAAACTTATAAAAAAAACTTAAAGGGGCGGGGGAGGTGGGGGAGTCAAGCCAAACACAGCCCCAGTCTGACACTAATGATGTTTATATCAGGGGCAACCAGAAAGGTATAACATGAGAGGAAGCAGATTGCAGAGCACACAGAATCAGATACCGGTAACAAATAACATCACAACAGCACAATTGTAAATTAACTGCTGAAAAATGGTATAGCTTGCCGGAGCTCCCAGACACAGCCGTGCAAGCTAAGGCTTCCCATGGCAGAATTTGTGAGGCTGGACATGAGCGCTACCTTGATCTTGTCCTCGTAGAGCCGCTCCTTCTGCACTAGGTGAGCCTCCATGCGCTGGGCTGTGGCCTGAGCTTGCCGCAGACTCCCCTCCAGGTCCTTTCACAGCAGAGTCGAGGGCAACCGTTAGCGTCAGCTCAACCACAATAGACCGACAAGAATTCACGCATAATGATGTGAAAAGCGACGCACATGCACGCACACACGCACGTACACACCACACGCTCACTCGCATATGCACTTGAAGTGTCTGTGCTTGCAATCTGTCGCTTTTGGAGCAGCGACAAGCTGACCACAGAGCCAGCAGAGGTATGTGGGATAGAGAGCCGCCTGGCGGAGGCCTGTGACTGAAGGGTGGAGGGAGGACAAGGCCCATTCCTGCTCCCGGAATGCTGAAGCTAATCTGGGAAGAAGGGGTACTGAGGGGCGTTCATGGCGGCTGTTAAAGGGGCATCAGCCAAAAACAATGTTCTCCACTGTTTCTCACCAGGATCCTATCTGCCATCTGCTGTATCTGCTGGGTCTTGATCTGCATGTCGTCTTTCAGTTTGTTCTCCCTCCTCTCCACCATCTCCAGCCTCTTGACCTGGTTTTCCAGGGTCTTCCTGCCTTCCTGTGCATACACACACAGATAGTGTGGTGCTTTGGGCTGTGGACCAGTCACTTGAAGGTGGTTGTTCCAGGAATCCTGTTGTAGTACCCTTAACCCATGCAAGTGTTCAGTAAATTATCCAGCTGCATAAATTGGGTACAAATTTTGTTACTTTGAGCAAGAAAAAAAGAAAACAAGGCCGCCTTCTGGATGCCCTCTACCCTGTCACTTCCAGTTCCATTGCAGCATCATCACGATCTTATTTGGCTTCAGTGGCTGCAGTGGACGAGTGACCCACCTCGGTCTCTCGGAGGCGCTTGCGCAGGCTCTCGCTGGAGTCCTCCCGGCTCTGCAATCTCTCCAACTCTCTCTCCAGGCGCTCCTTGGCCTGCCGAACGCTCTGCAGGAGCTCTGTGGCTTCTGTGCTGGCCTTCACCGCCTGGCTCGAAGCAACGTGGGCAGAACCCACCAAACGCCGTTTTCATTTGCCTGATAAATGGTCACTCATAAAAGACAGAAACTCCTCCCCCTGTATCAGCTGGCCTGTGCTTAACAAGCAGCAGCATCACATCGGAGATAAAAGGGCTGCTAAACCACACACAGGTCACATGACAATCAGCCTGTGTAACAGTCAGTTGGTCGATCAAAGACCGAGCTGACAGGTGTGCAGTATGTATTGGTGACACAGTCCATTCACAGAGCATCAGTGGTAAATTACCTTGGCCAGCTTATCTTGGAGCTCCTGGACTTTTGTCTGCTGCTCGGCGTTGGTCTGAAATCAATTTTGTATCCAGTCAGCATAAGAAGGCTTAAGGTGCGACAGGGTGCCCACTCAGTGTGTAACAGACTCCTCCCTTCTGGGTGACCTACATACCTTATTCATTATCACTGACTTCTCCTGGGCCAGCTATGCTCAGTGATTTAACACCAATTCTTACCTTAATGGCTTAATTTAACATCTTCAACAATTTTCAATGTTAAGGGGAGAAAAAAAAAATCAGTCTAAAAATAATGCAAAGCAAAGGCCACACATGATGCGACATATTTCACATTCTGGTGTGGCAAAATCACACAGCGATATAGCATTAGTGCTTTTTCTCCTCTGATGGGAGGGAAATAAAGGCCCTTGTGAGTTGTAGGAGCGAGCATAGCACTGATGGGTTATGGCAGTGATGGGTTATGGCAGTGATGGGTTATGGCACTGATGGGTTAGTTAGCACCTAGCAAGGCGTCACAGGGCCTCACCTTCTCCAGCTTTGAGAGCAGCTCCTGGACCTCTGCTTTGCCTTGCTCCTTAGCCTGTGAGGCACAGTAAGCGAGATAGCTGAAAAACACCCCCATACGACAGACAGGACAATTATTTGCCGTAGGTACCATACCATACGGATCACCGTGGGATGCACTGGTTAGACACTGAGGAAAATGCACACAGCAGACACACAGATAATCCAGTGGCAGGGTGAGAAGCTCCCTCTTCACCTGACCTTCTGCATCTTCTGTTGGTAGTCAGCCGCTTTCCGCTTCAGCTCCTCGCTGGTCTGCCGGGACTCTTTCAGCTCGGATTCGTACAGGTCGCTTCGGCGACGAGCTGCAGACAGGTTTTCCTCCAGCTGCCGGATGGTCACCCGCATCTCCTCCAGCTGCGCATGGTACTCCTGCAGGAGCCATGGAGCACACAAGTCAGGATGGCAACCACGGCGACCACAGATACCAGGTGTGGGCTGCTACATGGACACCTTTGCCAGGAGTCACATGCTGTCCGAAGGTATGCAACTATTTAAAAGGGTTAGGGTTAGAGTCAGGGTGAGCATCTCTGCTGGTCCGGAAGTTCTGGGATGGCACTTAGTATCAACTGCTGGTTCCAAACATTCTTTGTAGCACTGGGCAAAGTGCATAAGCTGAGTAGAAACATTGTCCAGCTGATAAAGGGGAGAACTGATTACTGTTAAAGAGAAGTAAGCATAGAAATTAGGAACAAAAGAAGCAAAGGAAAAGGACAGGAAAAAGAGGGATGGGCAGCAGCTTGTAGAGCCACTGCGAACCTGAACAGCTGCTGGGTAGTGTGAGCGCCAAATAGCTGGCCCATCAATGGATAAAAATGCCAAGCCACTACGATTAAATGTGTCAGCTCTGTAGCAGGATTTGAAAAAAAGGAAGAAATAATATAAATCTGCCAACAAAATCAGTAACATCCAATTAAACTATCTATTCCATTATTCATGGGAAAAATTCCCTGTATTTATTGCAGAATATGCATAAAGAAACTATGTTTAGTTTTGGATTTATGTTTAAAATAAATTATTGTAGCTCTGCAGTATTGGACTGGCTAGAATTAAATCACAGCAATATCTTAGGGTTAGAGTCCATAATGCCAACCACACAAACACACATGTCCACATTCAGTTCATGGTTCATTTTAAGCAAAATTTACTTTATTTATTTGTCCAAAGCAACATCTACGTGAGGAAAATTTGGGGCCAGAAAGTAGGATCAACTAGCACCCCTAGACAGCTGGTGATAAGGACCTTGTTCAAGGGCCCAGCAGTTACTCTGGCAGCTATTGGATTTGAACTCACAAGCTTTTGGGACATGAGCATAGATTCCGAAGCTGCTGAGCTGCATACAAGCTACATTAAAACCTTTGTAAACACAGCTATGACTGGATCAGGCTCCAGACACGGCATGTCTCTGCGCTTGATAAGTGACACAAAAGCTCGATAGATGAAAATAGGTAATGGACTTACACATTCCCATGGCCGCAGCAGTTAAGCACGGCACACAGGCAGATACTGCGACACTTACCTGCAAATTACCTGCGTAGTGCAACTCCAACTAGTAAACGCAGAGTGTCTGCCAAATGACAGATGAATAAATAAAGATAAGCATCTCTTTTGGTGAGATATGAAATGCGGTGGAATGTATGCAGAAACAGGCACACGCAACCTTCTGAAACAATGCAGGAGGAACCAAACTGCAGCAGTGGCTACAAAGTCAGGTGTTTTTCCCCTGAGGGTGAGCTCTGGGTTACAGGAGAGTGAGGAGAGATTTTCAGCATGCACTACTCTGCAGCTCAACCTGCTTTGCCTCGTGGTGCACAGTTTGGCACCACACAGGCCAGGCATGGAGGTGTTTAATAACAGTCCAGTCAGGGGTGTGGGGGTGGGTCGACTAGATGCCGAAGCACTCTGCTCCTCTGTAATTAACGCCGCCACGGCTGGGACACAGGGGGATTTGCACCACGCCTCATTTCTACTATCTCAACCAGCAGGCGCGTGAGAGATGGAAAGGTCACACGTCACACTGGGGCCCAAGAAGGAAATGTTTAGAAACAAAGATGAGAAAGGCCAGGGCAAAAATACTAACCCAGAGGATCTGATTTATGTTTGGCACAAGGCTTGGAGCGATTCTTTTCCTGGAGGTGCTGAAGCCAAGGTATGGTGACAGGGAACAAGGGACGGCACAGAAGATAAAGCACGGCTTTTAACAGGGCCAGGAGACTCATTGGAGAGCCACCGAGGCCGATTCCCCAGCATCAATCTGAAGCCTCGGATAATAAAGCTGGGCTGGGGAAGGAGTGGAAGGACGTGGCACAGCCTTGCCTGTGCCAATCGAAAGCCGGGAATTGAGGAGTGGGAGGGTGTAACCCGAAAGTCAGAAACCATGCTAAAGATACATAAAAATACACACAGGTGAACACAAGCTGCCCTGGGATGGAGCCCCAGGAAGGATACGGGGGGTGCAGCCTCCATGCTAGGGGCTCTACCTGCTGCTTGATCTCCTGCAACTTGTTGCTCTGCTCCCGGATGTCATGGAGCAGCTGAAGGGCCTTGCCGTCCTCCTGGGAGACCTCCATGCGCGCCTGCTCCAGACTGCGTTTGAGGCTCTGCAACATGCGCAACACACATACACACACACACGCACACACACACACACGTAGATAAACATGCACGCTCGCATATGTGAGTCCCAGCTGTGCCATGCTGCTGCATGATGTCCCAAAACCTCTAGAGCCTCCACCCCCCCCCCCCCCCCGGCTCGCCCCCCCCACTCCCCACATTGTGTATGAGCAGTGGGCTATGGGGGTGCTGGAGAGAAGCACGCTGTCATCCATGATGCAAAATGGATTAGGTTTGGATAACTGCCCATAAGGGCACAAGAAACTCTTGAGTGGTATCCAACCTACTGTAAATGTGTGTGAGGCACTGCCCGGCTGGGCTGCTCCGCCCACAGCCAGAACCGCCCACCTGCCCAGCTTGCCCGCCTGCCGCTCACTCACGCTGCATTCCGTGATGTAGGTGGCCAGGTCCTGCTCCAGGATGCTGCGCTGTGTCTCTGAAGCCTTCAGCTCCACATCCTTCTGCTGCAGCACGGACTCCAGGTCAGACATCTTACGCTGCACGTGGGAGATTTCCTGCTCCATCTACCGGGTAGCGAGGGCAGAAGATCTCACCCGTGAACGTCAGTGTAGTACATGGCGTACGGTAGCCATAAACATTCCCGCTCTATTGTTATCAAAAGTGACGAAGACTACAAATCAAATCTGACAACAGAGACAGATGGAGTGCTGGCTGTGATTCTCAGTGACCGGTCTCCACGCATCTGCTGCCTCAAATGCTACGCACCACAAATCTGATTTATATATGAACATCAACTGGACTTTTGGCAGCGCTAATTGGCCCCCAGGTGCAGAGAGACACACAGGGGGTCCGCCCATACCGCACCACAGGAGGGTACTCTACCTTGTAGCACAAGTACCTCGTTTCTCATGAAGTTCTTGCTTGTTTATGTGAAGCCTTTTTTGGCCCCCAGGGAGTCGGGGTTTATTGAAGAGCGGAGGCCGACTGCTTTCAGCCTTAGAATAGACAGAGGGACACAGGAAGAGAGAGAGAGAGAGACAGAGAGAGGGAGGAGGATTATTACACGGGAACTACAGAGGACTTTTCACCGATTTTTACACATAAGTGACAGGGACTCTTTAAAACCAGTGCAGACTTCAAAGATCATCACGCAGCCAATGAAAGTTCCACAGTGAGAGCATTATTGCTATGATTCCTACCACACAAGTATGAAGAGATGTTATCATCACATATAGGGATTCTGAGTGTACATACATGGCTGATTAACTTTGTCATTCCTACATCATTATTATTATTAATAATAACAATAATAATAACTGGCTTTTATTACTGCTTATATTTACATCAATTATTTGATAAATATATTTTAGATTATCTATCTATCTATCTATCTATCTATCTATCTATCTATCTACAGTATTTCACAGATGCCAACTGTTGTTAGCTGGCTGTAGTGAGATTTTCAATTTGAGACGTCTGCACAATCATTTACATGTATGTAACAGTTTTATTACCTTATGCATAGTCTGAAGGGTTTGCAAACTACCCCAGCACTAATTTTATGTTGCTAATTTTAGGTGCATGATGGAATAATAATATCTATCTATCTATCTATCTATCTATCTATCTATCATTATAATACTTAAGATAAGGGTTCCAGAAAAGACAAGAAGGATCTGACCATACGTGACATATTAATTCTAGTACATCTTATGTCATAATTAATTTTATTCTAAATTGTATTACTGCTTGGGTCGATATCAAACTGAGATACCCACCAAGGAAACTTCCAACATGTGAATGACATATCGAAGTTATCTATGGGGGCCAAATAATACAATCATTTAATGGAGGTGCTTCACACCAAAATCTCGGTATAATCCTACCTTAAAACCAGTCTATGTCTTTTTAAAATACTGACCAAATATTTGAGGTTTACTCGTAATAATACGGATACATTAGCACCATCATACTAGTTTATAAAGTTATATTCCTTTACACTCTGGCTGATTCACCAGTAGGAGGAAAAAACCGCTGCCCTCACAGCGCTTCATAAATGCGGGCGAGATGCGTGAGTCACCCACCTGAGGAAAAATCAGCAGGACGCTGACATGACACCACTTCGTGTCTGCTTATTCCGTACTACTCGGGCACCGTGAGTCATTGACAGGCAGGAATAACGGCACAGTACTCAGGAATGCGCTTACGTAAGGACGTGGACTTTCGACATATTAGTGGATTTTTTTTTAAGAAACTAAAAACAAGACCACCGCATCGTGCCGTTTCGTTAACCTGTTTGGATTAGCAGGGGCCGCGCGGCCCGGCTGGTTCCCGCCCGCCAGCTGCCTTGACCGTGAGAGCTGGATCGCGAGCTCGCGCGTTAAGCCCGGCACACGCCGGCTCTGTGTCATTTTCATTTCGCCGCGAGACGCGCGGCTCCGGGCCGGCTCACGCCTCGCGGCACCGGGACTTCAATAATGAGATGCGCCGTGGCGTCTATTTTTCACTCGTGAGGTCAGCGATTCTCAGCAAAAATAGACGGCTAAAAGATCTGTTAATAGTCATACTGACATCATACCAGCAAAATTACATAACTGACACCTTTCACTATACTTTCAGTGTCTGGAGTATCTCTGCTCTCACTCTGAAGGAGAGTAAACAAACATCACGTGACTGTTTGGTGTTTAAATCTGGTCAACTTTATGAAGCATAAACTCAATGTAGAAAGATAGACAATGTGGACCGAAGCATGGATCTTTGCCTCCACAGTTCAGCAGCCATGACACAACCGTGACACACACGCCATGCAGCAGCCAAGCAGCTGCGAAGTACGTGCCACACAGCCACGAAGCACACACCATGCAGCCACAACACACACACACCACTCAGTCACAATGCAAACACCATGTAACAGCCACGCATACGCCAAGCAGCTGCAATGCAGACACCATTCAGCCGCAACACATACACCATGCAGCAACCGCACACACACCACTCAGCTGCAACGCACACACCATGCAGCAGCCACGCACACACCACTCATTCCACAACGCACCTGCCATACAGCCTCAATACACACGCCACACAGCTGCAACCCACATGCCATGCAGCTGCAATGTGCACACCACGCAGCTGCATGCCAGATTCTATGTAGCCGCAACACAAACACTACACAGCAGCCAAGCACAGCCGGTGAATCCAACGCCTTAATGGGTGGCACGTGGCTGACAGCTCGGAACCGCGGTCCTTCAATGAGGTTAATATAGAAATACGACGCTTCTTTCAACTTGCCACCTTTATGCAAGCACAGAATATTATGCAAATCCCAAAACTGCCTTCCTTACTTCAGCGCTGCACGACAAGTGAACTCAGCTCAGAAGCAGATCTGCAATCCATCAAGGAAAGGGGACATAGGGTGATCATGTGTTCTCTTTTTCCCAAACTTGTCCTCTTTTTGGGACCCAAAAATTGCCTGAAATACCCAGGATTTTGCTTTGTCTCAAATGCCCACGCAAGCCCCCACGCAGACAGCCAAGGTACAGTAAGGAATCGAGCGACTATCTCCATATACATTTCAGATATTCCTGTTTTTATCTTCTCTCGCTTTAACGTGATTATGACTGCTAACCCTATCCTAATAGAACTCCTAATGGAAATGTTTTTTTGAGAACGGATTATTGTGAAATTGGTCCTCTGTGCGGCAGAGAACCCAATATGCATATGTGCAGTAACACGTTCAGGCAACTGTAAGGCTCAGCGAGTCTGACAGACAGACAAATTATTAACTGTGAAGGAAATTTCAGGTTTACAGTAACATCACAACATGTATTTTACATTTTTAAACATGAAAAGAAACTGTCTGAAATCTGCACATTTATGCACCTGCACAGTAACAAACAGTAACAATGTAGAGAATGTCACAAAATATTGCAAAAATTTGCAGCACTGCTACGTTTGCGAGATAATATAACAGTTATTTTCTGATCCTTGCCTCAAAACTGGCATCCATTACTTACACTAAGCAGTTGCACTCCCTCATTATAGAGCAGTGGTTTCTAAATTAGTGTACTGGCCTGTGTTTACCCGGCTAATACATGTATCTGCTCATGCTTCCACCAGATGGACTGAGTTAACTAATAAATTACTTTATAATTTACCATAATTAGTTGAATGAGATATAACATAAAATAGATTGAGAAATCAAATACATTTAAGTTAAAATAGTTTGCCCTTCAAGCTCAGGCTAAATATATGTATTAATACTGTAGTCAACACCAAACATTAAAGATACACCCATCTTTCCTAGAACACTCGTTCAGTACGGGGTCATGGGGAACCCGAAGCAAAGGGCAGGAGGCAGGAGACACCCTGAATAGGGGACACACTGAGCAGGTCAGTACAGGGGACAGCCTGGACAATACGACACAGGGGACATACACTCCAGCATCCTACAGACAATTTGGAGACAAACCCCTTATACTGGAGGCTGCAGCACTATCCCCTGAGTGACACCCCCCCCCCCCCAGGTAAAGATACAGATAAAATAAGTAAATGGGGTTTACAAGCAGGACCTCTGTGCTTCATGGGAGAGAGGAACTCTGCAGTCGTCAGGCTTGGAAGCTTGTTTTACCACAAGGCAACAGGCAAGATCTAAAGCTAGAGCTGGCAGACAGCTTGGTACAGAGAACATGGCAACTTCCAATGAGTATAGGAAGGGTGTGACACCCACGTCTTACCTGTTCCCCACCATTACCTCTGGGGCCAGCAGGTGACAGTTCATGCTGTCACCGGGTGACAAATGATAACAAAAGAGAGTCAATTGTGAGTCTCAAAAGAGAAGCCTGAGATAACCTAACCCCCCGGGAGGTAATTACCCCCTCAAGCTCAGTCTAGATGGTTTAGCCAGACTGCAGGAGCCACCCAAAGGTAATTCTGACAGGCGAGTCCATTCTTTCCTCCTTCCACACATTGAGCTTTTGTGCTGGGGACCACGGGGGAATCTGTTTTGTTGATCAGGTGACTCCCCCACCCTGAGCAGATTTCTGAACACCCCAGCCTTCATTCCTATTTCACCCCCTCCCTCAGCAGCACTCACAGCACATGCTAAAGCAGCTTTGGATAAAACCTGACAGAAAAGGCTTTGGTAAAGTGGCCTGGCCAGAGTGAGTCCAGTACTGGAGGTCGTCATAGAACATCTCCAGATGCTATTAATTCAAACCAAAGACTTGAGTGAATGAGTGAAAAGTAAATCTTCTTTCTTGCTGGCCTAGTCAAGCAGAAAACACATTTGCAGGACAATATAACAGTCTTGTTCTACCAGGGTTTACCTAATTTCAGTCTTAATCCTCATTTCATAACCTTGTCCAGCAAAGCACGACAAGAAGAAGCCCAACACCAGCATGAGAAAGACAATGAGTTCAATTCAGTTTCAATTCAAATTTTTGTATAGCGCCTTTCACAACAGAGTCACCCCAAAGCGCTCTACATGGGTGTATTGTGGTACATTATAACATAATTAAAACAGAATAATATACAAGGAAGAGGAAAGACAAAGAGAAAGAGAATGAGAGAAAGGCAGAAGGGCGATCCATTGGCCGTGCTTGGCCTGCTGCTCTTATCGCAACATTTGGCAGTGAAACTGATGACTGTTATAAGACGCTGCACAGTAAATGACGTGTTCCTGTGATCGCATGCTTCCACCAAATAAAAGAAAAGGTCTACATAAAAGAATCAGTTGTGATTATTTAAGATGGAATCAGTTATGCTTATAGAAGATGGAAATCCTCACTCACCATAATCTTAGAACTGAGAACACAGATGTTCATTATTGACCTTCTATTGACTGCAACTGGTTTAGAATAAATTGTGGTCTTTGGTAAGTTTTATTATATTCTTTGAAAGATATAAAATTATACCTTGCCCATTGATTTTCTGACTGCGGCAAGAGAATTCTGATTCTGTGCAGAAAGACAAAAATGTATCATCTGGTTGGTAT